AAAAGAAAAATCATAAATATTGTCAAACTCAACAATATCAAGAAGTCCCGTTTATTGGATTTTGTGTAGCCCAAACCAATTTCTGTTGATTATTCCTGCGAATAAATGCTCTCATAAAATAAGGACAGCCTAATTCTAGAGGCCTTACATACACCATCTTAATTGCAACACCATTAGCGAATCACAAAATAGCTGTCTTTAAAAAGCCATATAAATTGTCATTGTTTAAAGAGTGCATCAATAAATGCTGACATCGTTGAATGTAAAGTAACACACAAAAGGGAGGGGCACATATAGAATTAATTAATTCCACTACCATTATTTATGACTTAATATGATATACTGGCGTGCTTTATAATAACACTGAATGTGCATATTTCTAGAGGAGACACTGGAGTAATTATGTAGAATGCCTTTTACTCTGAATGTACAATATTAATTACAACCACGGTTGTTTATCAATTGCGAAACGCTGTTTAAAGGCTGTTTGGAAGATTGCCATGATGACCCAGGCATGTGTCCTATCTTTTACTTCAACTTCTCATAATGTGACATAAGACATCCTTCCTGTGTCACCCTTGATATGTGTTTTAATAAAGGAAAATATCACAAATGAGACTTTAAAGTGCAGGGGAAAAAAAACGGTTTAAAAGAAAAAGTATATATTGCTGATAAAGCACCTTGGAAGGTTGAAACATTGTGAATGCCATTTGTAACAATTGATTAGTTCATCTGCATCAATTAATTCTCAAAAAAATATATAGCCAGGAAACTTTTTGAACCATGCACATTTGTGTGGAACCATAAGCATTGGGTTACTAATCCTAAGCATTATGTTGGTTGAAAGTCTGATGGTGTATGGTGTAAAAACAGTGTTTCTGAAGCCTGAGAATCGCTTGCCCCATTTAACAAACATTTGCGGACCACCTAATTTGAAATTGCCCCCACAACAAAAACAACATCTTATTATATATAACCTGAAATGAAAATATTAGTCTCTTAAGTCATTGTTTTTGTTCCTCCTAAAGTGAAGGGTGGTGCTATTTTGTAAATGTAGCTGGCCACAATAAAACCATGAACAAGTCTACTCAGGTGTTTTGAGTTACTTACAGATTCTGAGTATGGATTCTAAGCTTTCCAATGATAGAAAAGACATGAAAATAAAAAAAGTTGTTTAATATGAGTGTTGTGTGCACTAATAATATTTCAGGGCTATTTGTAATTTAGAAGCATAATAAAAGAAAAATAGATTTGAGTTGCTTTGGCAAAAACAAACATTTTCTTTCAGCCAGTAGATAGTACAACATAAATAATTGTATTTAGTTAGCGTGAGGTGGAGCTCTGTTCACCGCCTTGTCACCATCATATAACATTCCGCAAAAACACAACGCTATGTATCGTAATAGTGTTCAAAAACAACAGTTCTGCATCACACCCTGAAAAACTTCAGGTTTTCCTTTTAGTGACCCAGTCTTAAGCCATTTAGCCATCATTATTTTTAAACACAATCCTTTGTAAGCTAACTGTAGGGTTACACTTTGAGCTCACGTCACGGCAAATGAACGGTTGTTTGCATGCAATACCTTGCGGACCACTAGGGTGCACCCACGGACACCAACAGTGGTCTGGAGACCGCAGTTGGCGAAAGTCTGGTCGAAAGGCTCAAGAAGGATTTCATCCCTTCTGTCTATGGGTCCCACAAAATAATCGTTTGTTATTTAAGTAAGCAAGCCATATGTGCTGATTTGTCTTTACACACGTTTATTTTACCCCAACTAAAGGATATCTGGGTATTGTCTGAATCTAGAGGGTCTGGGCTGCGATTCGGGAAAGGTTAGGTAAAAATCCTCTATAAACTGATGAATTAACACGGGTTACTTAACAACTAAATAGTTTAAGAGCATGTGACGTAATTTGAATAGCGTTTTCGACAGCCTTTTGTACACGAAACATTGGGTACTGAATGAAAAAATATATATAAGCCGTCACAAGCTGGGACGTAGTCCTACAATAAAGTCAGTGCCGACATGCCAGCACATACGTAGGCTTAAAGAACTTACTTTTTGGTTTCAGCACAAACTGGCGCGCTTCATCGTGGGTGGACACTCGCTGTTCCTGCCTTAGTTGTCACATCCATCTTAGCTGGTAGTTTTCAATGTCAAGCATTTTCCCGGTTCAGATACTCAAACAAAGCTATTAACGGATTAATGCGCATTGGGAGGAAGTCACGTAATGACGTAATCAATACGTTGCATTAATTCAGTGTTTTCTATTAAATTGAGTATTGTATTTTTGGTCACAGGTTCTTTTTTTATGCTATGTTTTTTGTATACTTTGATAACAGTTTACTTGAGTAAGAAATAATTGTTTAGCTTTAATTGTTTTGTTTTTTGTTTGTTTGTTTTGGCTTCTTGTGGGCGGAGCTTGTGATTATCACAAAGGGCTCTGCAACAGAAGCAGCCTGCCTGAGTTCAGACTCCCAACAGGTCACACAGAAAGTGATGGACTTTTGAGCTGCTGTTTTTTAACCTGCCTGGACGTCCATTGTAAATATGCTGCACAGCTTTTCCAAGTTTTTTCACCTAAATATGAGCACAATAAACAACATCTGAAGTGAGTTATGGCATTGGCCTATCGTTTTTTTTTTTCGTCCAAGTCAAAACAGAGCCCCACCACAAAGAACAAGTAGATAAAGAGACAAGTGCCAATTAAGACTTCAAAGGATTTAATATTTTGCTCTAGATACAATCAAATTCAGTCTGGATTCCTTAACTGTAAAATAGCCTTTTTGTTTACCTTACTTCAGTCTCATTTCCCTGCTCTAATGTGCAGTCCTGCTTTCAGCTATTGCTTACAAACATTTGAATATTTGATATATCTTTTCTGCCAGTGTTTGTTTGTATCCATGGTTCATTCAATATACTGCCTCAAAAAACTAAGCCAGATCATTCAGTGGTCTTTAATAGTCAGCCATATAAACAAAACTTGAAAAGTCCAGAACCTTCTGTCCTCCTTAAAAAATAAGAGTCTCAAAAATTAATTCAGGGTATCAAACTTAAGGCACTTGTCTTATTTAATTAAACTCATATATTTTTTCACCAGACATAGTTATGCAGAATGTTTGAAATAAATCATTGACTTTTAGTTTCATAATATTTTGTGCTCAACCAGGTGAAATGAAGATAGCAACAAAGCAAAATATAAGTCATTTTGGTAGTTTAGAAATCTGAAAAGGAATTTGGAGATTTTTTTTTTAGAAGTGTAAAAAGCTGGTTTCACTGTGTTCAATAGATTCATTTATGTGATGAAAACTTCAGTTTAGTCTACACGTATTGTTAGTCTTTTTTTTTTTCATTTTTTTTTTTCAAAATTGATAACCACCTCAAATTTCACTTAAGGATTTCAGATATGTTTTATGAAGTTAACTTGTTTAAACAATAGAGCTAATATGTTGTAAGAAGACAATTGCATGTCAGTAGAATTGACACAAACACTAAAAGTCTCATCAGTGAACAAAAGTGCAGTACCAGAGTTTATTTCATAGTGGGATTGGAGCTCAGGGTTATGATTTTTGTTGTTGTTTTTCAGCCAAACAGTTTTCTAAAGTTTCCTTCTTACATGTCTGTGATTTGTATTTATGTTATTGCTACACATGGCACGGTGGGTATAGGGGTGAAAATTACATCTACAGTTTTAAGAGGACAGGCCCCGAGCTCAGACCTGCACTGTGCCACGTGTCTTCACTGCCCTCTACAGGATGAACTTTATGGTGTTTGTCCTTTTGCCCCCACACTCTTAGACAATTATTGCATCTGTTTCTTCCATTCAACCACATGTTTAAGATTTTCTGGAAGTTTATGGAACTTGTTATTAAAAAGTGATAAAGTAAAGCAGTGAATAACCACACACAAAAAAATTACATTTATTTGTTAGCTATTATTTTTCTGTTTGATTACTTGTGGTTTCCAGTTAAATGCTGTATTCACTCCAAGGTCACTGAGTGCTTTCACTGCAGCACAACTGAGTCACAAGCAAATCCAAAATCTGCAAAAATCTGCTTATCTCAACTATGCCCAAATGCATGTTTGTCGCAGTCAGTTCTTAACCTTAAGTATTAATGAGATTAATATGCTTCCTCTGGTTCAATAATGAAACTACCTAACACAGAAATAAATCATCTTTTTTGATGACTTGTTTAAATAAATCAAAGGTTAGAGAAGCTCAATTGTGAAAGCCTCATAAATAAGACAACTGAAGTTGCCACTATCACATTTTCAATCAAATGTGTGAATGCCTTTACTCTTTGACTGACGTCAGTGGAAATAATAATAAAAAAGAATATTAATTGCAGAATTAAAGTTGTTCTGCATTTGATTCCATACCATTTTATATTTCTGATTGGTAAATAAGTCCTCCTGCAGGGCTCCAATATCTAGAAGTTCAAAGTAATCCAAACTTTAACACAGTAATGCCACACAGTTACACAAATCCTGTTCTCCAAAAGTGTATGTCCCACAAGAACTGAAAAGCAATCCATAAAACATAATGCAATATGTTGCTTTGTAATGTTAAAATACTGTAATGTTATGATTGGATCTCATAAGAATTTCTTCTTTTTTTCAATCTATTTTGTCAGTCCACTGTGTCTCTGACTCTTCCCCACCCTCCACTCTCTTCTCTTCATGTTTCCCATTGCTGTTTGAGCCAACTGAGGTAAATGTGTCAAACTAGCCTATATAGGTCACCCTAACAACCAAAAAAGTGTTCACTTGAGATTCAGCCCAGCTGACTTTTACTGCTGTCATGCCAGTGAGCCACTTTAGGTCATGCAATCACTGTGAACTAATAAATTTATTATGCAACCACACACACTTCACCACCCACAACAGTAAGAAGCGATAATAAAATCAGCTAATGGCATTGGCTTTGATCATCTTTCTAAGGTGGAGCGTAGGTTCAAGCAGGTGTGTGAAGATAAAAGGGATTTGGCTCTTTAAAATGTGTGAGGGGTAATACAAGAAGCTGAACAGAGATGTACCAACAGCAGGAAATGTAGAGAAAAAGCTTCTTGAAAATGTTTATTTTCATCTTTTGATTTGTCAAATCTAGGATTCATCACTGGAAGTGTTGCCGTGCCAGTCACTTGTATCAAAATATACTTCCTTTTAGATTAAGAGGGCAGTAGAGACAACTGTGAAAGTGTGCATGTGGGGCAACGGAGCTAGCCATGAGGGCTAAAACATCCAGAGCAAAACAAGCTGTACTAATCTGGCATGATCTGTGACTCTCCCTCATCATCTTATTGGGTGTGAGGTCTTGGGTGTGGTTATTAAGGACACTGATATTAAATGGGCCTTCTGCTTGCTGACTGATTATTTCTTGCAGGGCAGCTGTGGGTAGGGTCACTGAGCTGCTTTTCAAGCTGTACAAGTCTGAAAATTGCTTAACCCATTCAAACAAAAGAATTAGAAAGACATTCTACATAGTCAGCTTTCATAGGGGGCAAGATAGAATCAGTAAATGTGTTTAGCCTGGTGTCAGAACCTTATCTTCAAATCATTCAGGTTATATTAAGTAAACTAGGAAGCAGTAAGATGGAGATTTCAATAATAATTCAATGCAGATTTACCCAACATGAGAAAATGCCTGAAAGGATTTTGTGTGTGTATGCGTGTGTGTGTGTAGGTGTGTGTGTGTGCGTGTGTGTGTGTGTGTGAGTGAATGAAAGGTAAAGTAACACGTAACTTAGTCGATACGCTGGAGGGAAGCAAACACTGCTTCAGCCCCGAAAACAGTGTCAGGTTGCGTTAGCAGTTCAGAGGTGCTATCCACAGTTTACACCCGTGTCCGGAGGTACGTAACATTCCTGCAGCCTCTGACCTATCCACTTTAGCTGTCTCTGGGGTTAATTCCATGTCCTAGAGCTGAAACAACAGGATCACGGCCGCAGCACTAATACTCAATAGACGTTGACCTACTTTGCTGGATTATATGGGTAAAAAAACTGATCCGCTGCCCTAATGCCAGCAATGAAAATGATCTAACGGTTCTAACTGCTCTGTTTAATCTGAAAGCATGCGCATGTTATTAATTTCTCATTATGGGAATGCAGTCTTCCTGATGGGATTAAATGTCCTGCTCCTTTTTTATTTATTTGGAAGCATCCCTGATGAAACACAACAGACAAAAGACATCTGGCTGAAACTAACTCATGGCCTTGGTTTATTTCTTTTTTATCTTCCAAGTGTTTGTGCAATAGCATGGGCTGTCTGTTACTCATCCATATTTAGATTTCTGAGACAATTCTTAACATTACAATACAATTGTTTTGTATAATAGATAGTTTAGGCTGATAATCAGTAAAATCAGTAAAAATGTTTTAAATGTTAGACCCCAAATCATTTTAGGCTTATGTAATGATCGTGTATGTTGCTTCTCCCTCTATAAGGTTATGCTTAAATGGCTGCAGAATGCCCATGGCTGGTTGTACATCTAACATGAACAATCAAAGTCATTTTTTGGTCCATTACATCACCACCAGGGGGCACTTGATTCTTCAAGCATGGAGTGTGTTTGACAGATTGCCGTGGAGGTTACACATGTATTCAGTGAGGTGGGATTAGGTAAAGGACTGGGTTTACAAGCAGCCTCCCACCTCCTCACCATGAGCAGGTCGCTGGAGTGGAAGAGCTGCTTTAACATTTGTATGCTTAGTCACGGTTTTGTTGGTATCACACTAATAATAACACTTTTTAACCTATGATCTGCTGAATATTCTAACTTTTCCTCACTTTCCATTTTGTTGCCACTGTGATGTTATGTTTCTGGCTTGTTTGTCATTTTATTTTGTGATGTAAAGCACTTTTAATTGCCTTGCTGTTGAAATGTGCATCACAAATGCACTTGCCTCGCTTTGCCTAAACATATAATGAAAAGCATAAAACCTCTTAAGTTGTACAATGACTCTGATAAAATGTGTTTTACGGTTAAAGTAATTTATGCATTGCAACTTTCATGCATTATATTCATTATTGAGTAACTTGGAAAGGTTTTCACATCCCTTTAACATTTTCACATTTTGTCACATGACACCCTTCAACACATTTTTTTTTTTGTAGCAGACCCAAACAAAATAGTGCACAACTATCAAGGGAAAAACATATACATGATTTTCAAAAACTGT